TGAGATTGGTAACCTTTACAACTGAAGAATTGACGGAGGAATTGAAGAAATCGACGGAGGAATCGAAGAATGGATGGAGGAACAATGGAGGAAGGAAGCAAGAACACTAGTGCAGTGAGCTTCAAAATGTGCTGAGCTCGGGCTCGGGGAGGAAGAAGGAGACGGCCGATATATAAATGGGGGACCTTTACTCCCGGTTGGTGGCTCTAACCAGGACTAAAGGTCCCTTCCAACAGCTCCTGCGCCAGACAGAGGTGGCAGAGATCTTTAGTCCTGGTTGGAGCCACCAACCGGGAGTAAAAGTCTACCTTTAGTCCCGGTTGGTGGCTCCAACCGGGACTAAAGGTCCCTGCCACCTCTGTCTGGCGCAGTAGCCGTTGGGAGGGAGACTAGAGCCCATTTTGGCCGAGGATCAAAGGCCTGTTCTCTACTTGTGAGCATCATCAAATTAAAACACAACAGAAAGGATTCGTAGCAAAGTCTCTTTTTTAGAGCACCCCTACAAATACTGTCCAAACAAGCCGCCCCTATAAAGACTGCTAGTATTATCAGCTGCCCTTCACTACCGGATTCAGCTTCTTTGCCGAGTGCCTCAGGCACTCGGCAAAGGCTGATATACACTCGGCAAAGGCCGATATACACTCAGCAAAGGGCGCTCGGTAAACAGTTTATCGGCAAAGACCTCTTTGTCGATTGCACTTTATCGGGCACTCGGCAAAGCCTTTGCCGAGTGCTAATCTGACACTCGGCAAAGAAAAGTCACCGTGACGGCGAGCGCCACCATGACGGTGGCTTTCTCGAGTGTCAAGGTCAAGCACTCGGCAAAGGTCGCCACTGTGCCGAGTGCCACCGGCAAGACACTCGGCAAATGTAGCATATTTGCCGAGTGTCCTGTCAAGACACTCGGAAAACAGGCAACCTTTGCCGAGTGCCTGGTCCGTGGCACTCGGCAAATCTGTGATGTTTGTCGAGTGCAATGGCCTTTGCACTTGGCAAAGCATGTTCCCAGGTAGTCACTTTGCCGAGTGTCATGGCCATTGCACTCGGTAAAGTGACTGAAAACAACCTTTTTATTTGTTTTTTATATGCCATCCAAACAAACAGAAGATATATATAACAAACATCACCAACATCACATATATATCATCAACAACACATATATATCACCAATACCACATATATATCACAAACGTCACATATATATCACAAACGTCACATGTCTCACAATATATCACAAATAAGTTCACAAGTAATCCAAGTGCTCCATCATCTACAACCACAATTGCAAATAAAAGTACCATTAACAACCACAAGTATCATTAGCAAGACGGCCAATGAGACTGATTTGGTGAAGGATTCGATGAAGCATGAGGATCGTTCGATGCCGCTGATTGATTCTGCACAAAGGAGAAGAGATTGCATGTGTGAGACAAGATAAATGTATACCATACATGAATCAAACTTTCATACTCCACTAGGTTTGACCGTAAGCATGAACATACAAACTAAGGCCCTGTTTGGTTCCCACCTCCTAAAAATTTTAGGAGCTAAAAGTTTTAGCAGCTTTTAACAGCCATCTAAAACCTCCTAAAAATGTGTTTGGTTCCACCTCCTAAAAGTGACTAAAAACAATAAGTACTGTTGAACAAAGACACTTTTGCCCTTCTTCCTCCTACCCCTGCTACCCCTGCGCTCTTCCTGTCGCCTCCGCCGTGATGGCCCTCGGCGGCGCGGCGCCCGACGCCTCAGGCTCCAGCGAGGCTGGCTCCACCGCAGGCGCGCGCCCCTCCGCCCGCCGCACCACCAGCCGCCTGGGCGAATCTCAGGCCAGAGGAGGAACAACCCTCTGGGCGAATCGGCGATGGCAACCCACCCGGCCTCCCCAACCGCCGGCGCCGACTAGGGCTCCATCCTGGTCTCCGTCGATGACGAGCCCGACGCTGGCATCGCCTTCACCTCCACCAAGGCGCAGGATCTCGCGCAGCCGCTCATCGTCGTGTAGATCCCCTTCAAGATCTAGCCCAGCCAACGGCGTCCAGGGGGAGCAGCGGGCCACCGACGTCGGGGGAGCGGGAGGGCGGCAGATCTGGCAGCGGGAGCCCCGGCGCTCCAGCAGGTCCAGCAGCTGGAGCCCCGGCGCTATCGCTGCCTCCGCCGGGTTTGGGCGCGAAGGGGCGGCGGATCCGGCGGGGGGAGGGCGCGGACCGAAGGCGTGAGGGAGCGGGGGTGGCGCGAGGGGGAGTGGAGGAGGGAGGGAGCGGCGGTGGGGTTGGGGAGGGAGCGGGGGCGGTGTGCGAGGGGCGGGCCCGTGCGGCGGTAGGGGGGAAGGGAGGGTGGGAGAGAGAGAGAGGGGTAGTGGGGGTCCAGATGGACTTTAGGAGGTTTTAGGAGGGGGTGGAGCTCCTAAAGTTTTTGGCCCCTCCTAAAGTTTTTAGGAGGTTTTAGAAGATGGTGTTTGGTTTTTTAGGCAAATTCTATCCAGATTTTAGCTCCTAAAACTTTTAGGAGGAGTAACCAAACAGGGCCTAAAACATTTATACTCACAGGAGAAGAATATATAGTGAGGAGGTGGAGGTGGAGGTGGTGCGAATAGCGAAGGTGGCGGAACTACACCCGTAGCGGCGCCAAGACTTTGCATGTACTGAAGAATCTCCGCCATCCTCCGCTGTTCAGCCTCCCGCTCGGCCTCCACCCTCTCCATCTTCGCCTGCATCTGCTCCCGTATCCTCCTCTCTTGTTCCAGCTGGGCCTACAATATATTCACCCTAATGTTACAATAATGCAAAGGAAAGGTATGAAAAAACCAATGAACGACGAATAAACCAGGAATAACCTCGAGTGCCTCCACCCGGTGGTGTGAAGTGTCCTGCCGAGGTCGTATGGCTGGGCTCCTGCTCGTGCTGCTACGTGACAACTTGCGCGAAACCTTCTTAAATTTTTCTCACAACCTCCACATATGATTTCATGAAATCTTGACAAGGTTCATGATTTTCGGACTTCGTTTGCTTTTTATAGAATTTAAAAACAACTCGACCGCAGGTTCGTGGTCATGTTTCGTGAACAAGATATACGAAATTGGTGGTCTGTTCCTGGATACGGCCTCATATTATACTAAATAACATGAATATCATTTTTCCATTCATTTTTTTCATTATTCGAATGACTAGCAGTTATAATTTGAATTAACCAAGAAAATTCAATTAAATTATATAAATTTAAGAAATATAGAAAAAGTATGAGAAATGTGTCACATTGGAACATGGAGTACCAGGTATTGTATGAGGACTGCAGAAAAAGATTGGAGGTCAAAAGTGAAAAAAATATGGTTTGCCGAGTGTCAAAAAATAACACTCGGCAAATCATCTCTTTGCCGAGTGTCAGGAGAAGACACTCGGCAAAGGGTTAACGGCGGCTGCCGGCCATTAACGGAGGCGGCCCTTTGCCGAGTGTTCTGGTTTGTCGAGTGCCCGACACTCGGTAAACCTGGTCTTTGCTGAGTGTTATTGTTTGCCGAGTGCCAGTTGGTTGCCGAGTGCTTTCTCTCTGGCACTCGGCAAATAGCCCATTTGCTGAGCGCCCGATAAAAAACATTCGGCAAAGTCTGGGACACTCGGTAAAGAAACCGTCTCCAGTAGTGCCTACAAATAACCCAATTTGTAGAGACGGTTCTATATTGAGCCGCTCCTACACAGACACTGTCCCATTGCATTGCAAATGACACGGTACACACACTGCAAGATGTCGGTGGTTAAAAGAAAGACAAAGCGAATGATACAGCAGAAGCACTGCCGTCAGTGGTTAAACACACACACACTGTCGCATTGCATTTCCAGAAAGAGAGGTTCAAGATTAAACTTTATAGCTAGCCTAGGCACCAGAGGCGTGGAAGAGCTAGGACCGGCCCGGCCGGTCGGTCTGCTCGGGCGACGACCACAAAGCAGCTGGGGCCGGCGGCCTGTGCCGCCTACGACGGTGGCGTCGCGGTAGGTGGTGTGAGATGCCTGACGCGCGCTGCTAAGGATAGAAGCACACACGAGCTCACGGTCCCTGTTCATCTTCCCCGGCGAGCCCCTCGCCCCCGCCCACCTCGACTACAGCCTAAGCCGCCGGCGACCTCCTCGCCGGGCGCCCACCCCGGCCGGACGAGCCCGCCCTCCCCTAACATCGCCGGCGCTCGCCCCCGCCGCCTATCCCGCCCATCCGGATGTCCTCCGCCGCCGCCAACCATAACCCTAACACCCGCTGCCCCGCCGCCCGCGGCCGGTGGCGAGGACGCCGCCGCACCGCTCCGCCCACCACCCGCCCGCTTGTCCCCGCCCCCGCCCCCTTCTTCCTCGATTACGGTGCGCGGGGGCGTCGTGTGCACCGTTTCAGTTAGTGGCGCATGCACGCCGGATAGCGATTGGGGCTTACACCGCGCGGTACTGCCGCCCCAGTTTGATGACACCATGCATGGTGCCGCCGCCCCAGTTCGCCCTAGCCGCACGACTGCCGGGCCGGGGAAAGCTAGGGTGGTGGAAGACTACTGGAGGGCTGGGAGGGAGTGTGGTGCGGAGCGCGCGCGGATACATGCTAGGGCTTACTGGAGCTAGCGGCATGGTTCGGGAGACCCTATCATTCCCTCCGCCCCTGCTCGCCCAGGCGCATATGCGGCCAGGTCGTTATACTGACTGGTGCAAACATGTCTAGGTTGGTACCGTATGTTTCTTTATGTTGATAATTAAGGCACGCAGTTAATGATGCCAATTAATAATTAGCTCGCTGCGGTTATTAGGCGATCGAAGAATTAGTAGTATTAGATACTTATTGCTATCATGCATATGATATGATGCATACACAAGTCGGGCTTTTAATTAAGTATATATAGTCGTGCAGGGTTAGCTTATCACGATGAATTCGAGGTCATGTATTGATCTGCTGGTACCTAATCGCGAACATGCATGCGCGATGCGATTGAAGGAAGAATGTTCTTATAATTAGGAGTGAAAAATTGTAGGAACTTACTTGATGGATAAATTACGGCCCTGCCGGGCTTTGGCGGTAGCTGCGCGCGGGTGCCGTGTCAAAGGTACCCTGGGGGGAACAATGTCCTCGAGGCCCGAGAAAACCTTGTCATCTTCATCTGCGGCGGCAGCGGCAGCGACTGGGAGCATAGGAGAGGCAATAGCGGCAGCGGCAGGAGGTTCTGGAGGAGGAGCCTGAACCTCGGGCAGGCATCTGTGTCGTCTCAGGTGGGAGGTTCCGTTTTCGCTCCTGGCGCTCAGGCGCGTGCGGCACGTGGGGCATTCAGCAACTATGGTTTTGCCCTTCTCATCAGGAATTTTTTTGAAGAACTCCCACACCTTAGAACCAGGACGCCTCCCCTGGCCGCGGGTCGCCGACGACGACACGCGCCCAGCTGCTGCGCCTGACCTACTACTATTGGTTCTGGTGGTGGCCATGTGATGTTAGAGAGGCAATGTACTACTTCCCTTGGATACCATATATACGCACACGCTAGTAAGTGCTGCAATGCATCATCAAGAATCACTTGCTTGTTGCTTTTTTCCGCCGCGCAAACAGCGCTAGTTTGCCCCTGCAGAAAAGAACCGGGCCGGCACGCCTTTTAGTGTACTAGTAAGACAAAATTTGCTATCAAAAGGTGTGCATGTCTGTCAAGTATTCCTCGTTAGATGCTCCGTTGTCCATTTACTGCGAATTCTCCTAGTATTTTTAAGTAGTAATAAAATACTATCACTAGTTATAGCATATGTAAATCATCACCCGGAGGTATTTGGTAGGAAAAGCTTATACTAAATTTTGAATGAGAAAATACTAGGAGAAACCCACCTCACTAGGAGAAATTGAAAATTCTGATTGGGATTGTCGGCTTTAAGTGAAATCCATCTCACACGGCGAATTTACGCTACTGTAGTAATATATATGTTTGAATTGCTTAGGGCAAGTGATTAGCTTAAATTAATTGGAATTTGTTGGCTAGTTAGCTAACTAGCTAGGGTAGTCCCAATCAAGAAAATATAGGATAGTTTTCGTACTTAACAATTAATACGGACACTATATATGGAAACTATATACATTCCCACTAGAATAGTTTCTACAAGCTAAATAATTTTCCAATCATCATTCTTCTCTCCTATCGTGTACTTGTTATCCTAGTTCATCGTATCTTAGTTCACATTAGACATAGTTTCTTGTATACGAAACCATTTCTTTATCTGTCATTCTTAGTTCCAATGCCACATCAATATCTTGTTTACTTGCCTTCAAAAATATCTTGTTTACTTGGCACTCTAATTAGTTCTATGTACCCATTCATTGGGACCGCGCTTAGAGGTTTGCCTAAAAAAATTAGCCTATTAGTCCTCTATTTAAATGGGCTAGAGTTAAAATTAGCTATGAACAAAAAACCGTAAATATTGGATTTAGTTAAAGTTCCAAACTTGTCCATGCGTAAATAAAAGAGGAAAGGCATTATTTAAAATTTGTTACAAAAAAATCCATATCTGTCACTAGTTTTGTGAACAATGAATGTCCATAATGAATTTACAATCCCATAGCAACCATACGAAGCCATGGAGTTATGAAGTATCTAGAATTTAAACATGTCGATAACCACCACATTTGCTAAAGAATTAACCAAACTATACCAAATTTAAATGGGTTGCTAGCTAAAATCCTCAAAGTTTCAATGTCACATGGGTTCATAAAAAGTGGATAGCCCTTACCAACAATTCTATTCTATGCTACACTAAAATGGAGAAACTAAAAGAACCAACTAAGCCATCACACTTACTAGAGAATTAAAAGCAATCTAATGAAGCAAACTAGCTATACTATCTAATTATTATAAGTTGATAAGGATAGACTATATCAAATAAAATAAATAAGTAAATGGTCAAAGTGTATTTTGAGAGACCATATCAAGACGCGCGCCCAGCTGCTGCGCCTGACCTACTACTATTGGTGGCCATGTGAGATGTTAGAGGCAATGTATGTAACCCTTAGATCGATCGGTACTGGTACTACTGCCCCTGAATACCATATATATGCACACACCAGAAAGTGCTGCAATGCGTCATCAAGAATCACTTGCTTGTTGCTTTTTTTCCGCCGCGCAAACAGCGCTGATGAGCTTTAGTTTGCCCCTGCAGAAAAGAACCGGGCCGCGCGACTGCATGCTGCACTTCTAGTTGGCTCCAAACACTAGGCGTGCACGCGGAAGACGACGACCAGGGCTCCGCCCTTTTTCCCGGCCCGGCCCTTTCCGTTGAGAAAGTTGTAGGGAGCTGCTGCAGCAATATATCGAGACAACTCCATCTCCTAGCTTTCTTCTTTCTCTTCGCTCTTCATCTCCTAGCTTATTTCTTCTTTTTCTTCACTCTTCTTTCCGTTGAGAACTACAAGCAGGAGAAGGAATGGAATGAGTGGGATATCATCAAGAGCCTATATGAGCCCTAGCTCTTTTTATCACTACTACAGAAACGTTTTTTAGGGGCGGCTCGTAACCTTTTGTAGGGGCGGTTTGGCCAGCCGCCCCTACCGAACCGTCTCTACAAATCATGCATTTGTAGGGGCGGTTCCCAAGCCGCCCCTATAAATCGATTTGTAAGGGTGGCTGTAGTACAAATTGATTTGTAGGGGTGGCTGGTACTACAACCACCCCTACAAATCGATTTGTAGGGGCGGCTCGTATTACCAGCCACCTCTACAAATCGATTTATAGGGGCGGCTGTAGTACCAGCCACCTCTATAATATCTGTTTGTAGGGACGGTTCAATCTAGAACCGTCCCTACAGTATGTTTTCCCGTAAAAAGAATTCAAATTTACAATTCAAATTCGTCCAGAACACTGTTTGTTTCCGCGTATTCCATCCAGCATTCGCGTTGCCGAACGCCCCGCGACCAGCGTTCCGAACCGCGTTCGCATTGCCGAACGCCCCGTGACCAACGTTCCGAACCGCATTCGCGTTGCCAAACGCCCCGCGACCAGCGTTCCAAACCCCCTAGACTACAAGCACAAGAGTATTATATAAACTACAATTACAAGTCCAATTCACAAGAATATATACAATCCATCATTAAATATACAAATTCCATACACATTGTTATCAACGTTCTAGAGCTAGCCTTTCAGTCTCACGAAGATGTTGGTACAGAGGATTTCTACCTAAGTCAGACTCTCGGTCATGGTAGGCGCCTTTGACGTGTACAATCTGGTCCAATATGAAGTTGCAAAGGTCGCCGACGAGCTCTAAGAGTTGGTCATCCTTGTATGGGTCTCTTTTTATTTCTTTCTCTTCTTTCCACTATAAGAGAACAAGTTTCGGTTTAGTATTTCATACCATGTACGAAGTTTTTATACTACGGGTGAAGAGGTTCAAACTTACCCATAAGGGGTGTCTCCTGTAGGCACCGGTGTTACTCATCATAGAACATATATAGTATCCACAATGTACACTCCTAGGCTTCTGCTTAGGGTACTGTGTGTTTTGCATATGAAAATGTTAAGTAATGTTTTTGACAGCCATATAATGGAGTATTGAAGAAGTAAGTTACACTTACCTTACATAGTGTTTTTATAGCCAGCTTTTCCTTCCTTGCTGGATCATGCCTTCCATGATGTTTAGTGACATAGAACCTAAATGCTCAGTTCGAATTATTTTAGCAAATACAACTTGTTAGTATCCAAAAGTGAACGTTACAAGTATGTATAAAAACATATAAGCTAATGAGGATTGTCGATAAAAACATATAAGCTAATGAGGATTGTCGATATGTATACGTCTTGAGAATCGATATGAAGTCTTTGTATGTCACCGGGTCCCTATCTATTGAATCAAAGACACATGCCATGCTCCTCCCGACATCGACGCCTATACAAATCCAGTGGTTGCTGCATGGGTTTAATCATAGAACTAGATAAGCTCTTTTGCATCGAATAAAATATATCGAACAAAGCTTTAAGTATAGAGTTAAACTTACTCGAAGTTGTATGGTAGCCATATAGTAGAGTGCTGTTGGAGAATTTTGAAAGCTAGGGCAATGTATGTCGCAACCTTAAGGGCCACTTCTCTTAGTTTCGTCGTACGGATGTGCTCTTTCTCCCGAAGAGTATTTCCATCAGCTAGCCCTTTGGCATCTAGTTTCCACTATTTAGGGTAATTAAAATTTGTTTGGGCTATAACTTGAGGGTCTATATACTCGGCTTTCACACTTGGCATTTGTTTGATAATGTGCACTTGCATTCTACAAATCACGGCGTGGGTTAGTTACAACAAAATTCAAATATTGCATTCATATCATATCGGGAGTACAAGGACTTACAGGCACCACGTGCGAATTAGATTCATCTCCATTGCTCCCAGGTGAAAGCATGTCTGCATGTCATTAAAGTCAAAGACAATTTTCTCGGCTGGGCTTCCAAATGTGCCGGTGGGGAAGCATTCTTGTATGAGGTCTATGCTCGTTGGGAGAACATGCAAGTACCAATCATGGAACCTTCTCATTCCAAGTGGTAGGCGCTGGATGACCCGGTTTGGTAGGAAGGGCTTGCCTCTTTCATATGTTTTCGGGCAATCCTTTGACCATTTGATGGTATCAACATTTGGATACTGCTTTGCAATTTGGTGGAGTTTGCTAGTGATGGCCTCCTTAGAACCCTGTGATGGGACTTTTTTAACTTGGTTCTCAGGCTTGAACTGGTCATGGGAATACCACTTGGACACCGACGAGACATCTTTCATCGGAACATAAACTGACCTTATGGTGATTGGATGCTTCTTTTGAAGTTCCCATTCAGGCACGTCCTCGTCTTCTTGTGCATCACCTTCTTCAGGAGGCACTCGTTGTTCATGTATTGGCTGTGCTTGTTGAGAAGACAGTGGCATCTCATCATGCACTTGCTCGCTATGAGCTGGAGAAGGTTGTGGCATCTCATCAGGCACATGCTCGCTAGGAGACAGGGAAGAATGTGGCATCTCGGGAATGTGGTGGTCACGAGACGGTGAAAATATCTCCCCGACCTCAACAACTCGCTCCAAATTTGGGAGAGGGGGATGCGGCGAAGAAGCAGTCAATATAATGTCCTGTTTGTGCCAGAGGATGAACTGCCCAATAACGTCTCTGAGTAACACCAGCCCCTCGGGAGTTGCGTAGTCTATCCTCCACTGCATGAACTCGGGCTTCACGGTATGCACCTCAACCGTAGTGTAGTCCAGCGGTATCTTATTATTGTGGTGTAAGCCACTAGGAGGATGTGCCACACCCGTTGCCACCTCCATCACAATGTTCTGCCGGCCGCTGAGAAACACCAAGGTGCAACTAGTTGGTTCCTATATGCGATCGACGGGGGATGTGGCTGCAGTGGAACCTTGGCTGCTAGGAACTTTCGGAGGGCTGCCAACTAATGCCAGTTCTCTCGGTGGCGTCACTAATATCCGTG